GTCGAGGATTGACCAAAAGGGAGGAGATCGAGCACTCAACAGGTGAAGAGCAGTCTAGAGCGTGGCTTGACCGTGAGAAGGCGCGTGGATGGTGTTAGAAGATCCCAACGGCCTGCGCAGAAGAACAATCTCCCTCAGGCCAGAAGGACACGTGGCGAGAATATATTGGTGCAGAGTGATAGTGGCGAAAACCACCCCTGACATCTCTGACACACGCACACTATGTGTGTACGGACGGGCAGTACGGGCAGGACAGCTCATCAAAAGCCGGGCAGTTCCTAGGGCAGGTATCGCACTCCTATATATATGGGAGTGGGTTTTTTCTTGTAACCTACGATTTATCCATTCTTTACTTTTGAAAAATTGAACAAACACATACTGACTTAAGCATCGGAGGCTCTTCACCGAAAAACCCCTCCGGTGTGGGAGTTCTATGTAGGTGCGCGGCGTTCTACCGGCAAGGAAGAGGAAGGTGTACCAATTTCAAGCCGGTCGGAGTGTTTTGCGTTACCAAGTTCCTTGTTGAAAATGCCTGAAATTCGATTTATATGCTCATTTGATGATGTACTATGTGATCTAAAAACCCCAGGATTTATTGAATTTATTATGTTAAGTTTTTGATGATATTATGGTTTTTGTTGAATCTTGCAATAAATGTCATAAATTGTGTGTTCAGTGTTTTTACCTGAAAATTTTATATGTTATTCCTCATATGCTGGTGTTGTTTGTATAAAAAGTTTAGGTCTTAAATCATTTGTTAGGTCAGACTTTAAATTCATGCTTATTTTTGCTGATATCTTGTTATAATTTTATAAAATCGCATGTTTAAGTGATAAGACTTAAACTTGGTGGTTTCAATGTATTCAGTAGTGGTTATTATGTGTTCAAATTTTAAATCAAAATTCACTCATTTACCTGGTCAACTAGAAAATGAGGGTTAATTGTCAATTTGCTCGACATATTGGATGAATATGTTAACTTTTGAATTTTGGCATGATTTTTATTATATGGTGTCCTCCTTACATGTTATATAAGTGGTGTGAATTTTAAGTTAAGTGGCTGAGTAGATTTAAAGTCGGCTATTATGTGTATTTTTTCATATTTGGTTCGAGCCGAGTCGAATGTTCCATAACTCCGCGAGAATTTCCCACAAGCCACTTAGTCGACGAGTTTTGACTAAGTTTGTGTGATCGAAGAGTTTGTTGTAATCGAGAGGTTATCTTGATTTTGTATAGGTGTTTTGAGGTGATTGACCTCACCCCTTATTCGAGCCTAGTGTTTGTGATTTGGCACTGAAATCAGGTGGGTATATTTACGTTGTATCTATAATTATCCCACTCATTATTTCGTATAAATGTTTGTCTCGATAGCTTTTGTATGCATGAGAACCCTAGTCTAGGTGTCCCGTTGATAGTGCCTTTGATGAAATGCATAAGCAGTGAGAGGTCACCTGCCCGTTGTATCCGGGAGGAGGACGCCCTGGTCCGTGTGTTATTCGGAAGGGGAAAAACAACTCCACTATCTCCTGGAAAGGATCCCTTAGCCGTTGTAGCCGAGGTAGGAAGGTTTTCAGTTACATCTTTGTTGATGTATGGTCGGAAGGTTTGTTGTATGTACATAGGAGGTTGCGATAGGGCTAAGTAGGGAGTTAGACCTGGATTCTATGCATACATTATTTATGGTTTTGACTCTTTATGCGGGATATACTATGCGATAATGGTGAGCATAATGGTTTGCTCATCCCCATTACTTTTCTCCTTGTCTCCTCTTCCTCTGTGTAGGTTGAGCATGGCTGGCGGCGGCGGCGTGAAGACGATCGAGTGGTGGTCATTTGTTGTTATGTTATCATTGTCTTATGCTTCCGCCTACTTACGACTTTGTTGAACTGTTACATTTGACTTTGACTATTTCCTGCTTTGGTTTGGATTGCTTCGTTATTGTCGGTTTGAACTTTTGGAACTTAAAAGATAAATTGGTTTTAAATTATTATGGCTGTTTGGTTATGCATGTTTAAGTTCCATCTATGTATTGTCTTTGTTTAATCGTTGTTGGTAGATAAGTAGCGCCCGTTGAGAATTAAATTTGAAATTCAGAATTTGCGAAAATTTAACTCTGATTTTTATAAATAAATTCGATAAATTCTTTAAAATAAAAAGGAGTGTTACAATAGGAATCACCCTTGGTAAATCAAATAAACAAGTAATGAATATATATGCCCGTTTTATATTATCTTACAGCTTAAGAGTACGCATCAATTACTGAAGGTCAAGATTATAACTACGATCAGTAAATCTTATAACCTTATCCTTCCGCAGTCATGTTATCATAAGTACTAGTGTAAACTACAGTCAAAGATCAACCGAATCAAGATTTGCACTACAGTCGTTTCTAACAGGGGTCTCACTGCCTGTCTAAACGGTGAACAATTAATTTATATTTTACGAGGAACCGATAGTATGGTCTTTCTATTCGACACGACGAACCATACTATCTACAATGTAAAATAAGGGAGTTATGGTTGCATAAATAAATAAATAAACTGCAAACATCAGTACTTTGACTAAAACACGACTGCCAGATCAAAATGGAATTGCTAGAATCTGCAAAACTAGTTTTTATAGCATACCTCTAACAATGCTCACCCCCGCCTGAGGGTTGGATTAAAATAAATTATGATGGCTCTTTTAACCCGACGATGGGCATGGCTAGCGCGGGAGGGGTGCTGCGTGACCATTGTGGCTGGTGGATTGAGGGCTTTATTATGAATATTAAATTTTGTTCGATTACGGGGGCAAAACTTTGGTGACTTTTTCAAGGCCTTCAACTAGCATGGAACTCGGGTTATCGGCTCGTCATTTCGGAGGTTAATAGTCGTTGTACTCTCTCGATGTTACAAGGTGAGAATGTGGAGCCGGGAATCCATAGTGCATAATGCATTAATCAAGGCCATAAGAGAGCTGTTGAGGAGGCAATGGTCGGTGAAGGTCTTACATGGCTATCGGGAGTCCAACTTTGTTGCAGATTTCTTGGCGAGAGTTGCGGCAAGGAGTCCAGGAGGTTTTCAACCGTTACATACTCCGCCGGATGAGACCCGACACTGGTTAAATCATGATTTTTTCGAGGTCGCTTATCCAAGACATTTGTTGATTTCTAGTCCTTAGACGGTTGGCCTCTCTCTTTGTACCCAAAAATAAATAAATAAATAAATAAATAAATAAAGGACCAAAAAAAAAATCAAGGACCAAAAAAAATAAAAAAAATCAAGGACCTAGATATAGATAACCTAAAAGGAAGGAGAACATGCTACGACTGTAAATGAATATAGATTTCTTTTCAAAATTATTGTTTAGTAAGTAAGTATTAATGGAATAAATTGAAAAATCAATTTTAGAAAATAAAATAAAATAAATATAATAAATAAACACAAATTAAAAAAATATTATAATTAATGATGTTCCTGAAATATCGACCACCAAGATTTTTCTGTTGAACCGCCACGCACCACAAACCGGGCTAACCTGCAAAACAACGTTGGGGGCGGCACCCGGCCTATACTTCAGCACTCAAGTCAAAAATTTTATTCTTAAAATATCTTAGTTGAGAAACTTATTTAGAGCATAATCATATAAATATAACCTAGATCCTTTATTTATAAGAGTATTAGTCATAATTTTTCAATTCGGACCGGCCCGACGGGTCGACTCGGGACTTGGTCAACCCTAAGCCAGAACAGGTCCGAGTGAGTTATTCAGAATGGGTAACAATGGTCCTAGTCAAACTCGGTCAAAATCCAGTCGACTCGACATTGAGCCGGTCGACCTGGGGTATTGACCGAACCCATATATATATATATATATATAGGAAGCGGTTCAAATGAGAACCAAGTCTTAGTGTGAGAACCGTGAGAACCGCTATTTTTAATTGTATATAATGCTACGATTAATTGTGTTCTAGTGCTATTTTTAACTATGATGTATTTTATTAAAATTAGCAATACAATTTATATTAACATTTGTGAAAATGATAGCACCATGTAACAGTAAAAATAGCATTATACACAAATAAAAATAACATCAAATTCGGTTCTCACGGTTCTCACACCAGGACTAGTTTTTATTTGAACCAACCCCTATATATATATATATATATGTATACATATTTATATAGTGAATATTTATTATGCGATACAATATAATTAATATTTTGATGTACAAATTTTATTATAAACATTTAATTTTGTTACTTTTATCTGTATATGTATATTAATATGACAAAAATACTATATATATAAATTTTAAAATTTAAAACTAAATATCCTGTTGTTCAGCAATTGAACCAGTGATTGGTCACCCTGATTATTGGCATCATAACGATGCAAATAATTTTCTCATAAAAAAATATAGAATGATAATTGATTTTTTCTATTCTGTTAGTAGATCTAAAACATAACAAATAATATAATACTATTATTAATTTTTTGAAAATTATGCATTTTATTAAAACCACGATAAATAAATATTCGAACCAAACAAACGCTGAAATCGTAAAGCAATAGCACACAACAAAAAAATAAAAACCCTAGTTGTGCTCTAAAACACAGTGGCTTATCACTTAATACGTTTCACCTTTCGCTTCCGCCCTCACAGGTTGACTTCAAGCAGATCGAGGTATGGTCTCTCCCTCTCCTATGTGGTTGTGTGCTTTTGTTCTTTCCTTTTCATTTTCTTTTGCAAAGTATGATCTGAATCGTTAAGATTTCTTTGCACGGCGTTTTTTTTGTCCACAGTTGTTGTTTTCTTTTTTTCTAATTATTTTCTAGGTTTTGTCTCTGGTTTAATTATTGATGTTGTAAGTTGGAATATTGAAGATGGTATACTGCCCTAGGAATATTGTGTAGTTTTCTTTTTTTCATGTGCGTGTATTGAATTGGGCTTATGATTTGGTAATATGTTTTTCCCCACCACGAAATTTGTATCTTTTGTGGACTTGCTTGGAAAGATATGGCTGAAGAATCTGGAAGGAGCTTTGCTCAAAGGGACAAGCTTATGGAGATCGAGTCAAAGGTCCAAAAGTTGTGGTCGGAGGGTGACGTGTTCCATGCCGAACCAAAGGATGCAAAACCTAAAGAAGGGGAGAAATTCTATGGTAACTTTCCATTTCCTTATATGAACGGATATCTGCACTTGGGCCACGCGTTTTCTCTTTCGAAGCTCGAATTTGCCGTCGCCTACCACAGATTGAGGGGAGCCAACGTCCTTCTGTCTTTCGCCTTCCACTGTACTGGAATGCTGATGATGGCTTCGGCCGATAAGCTCAAAAGGGAAATCGAGAGATTTGGGAATGCTCCCATTTTTCCAGTTGTCAAGGAGGAGGAAATTGTCGAATCACCAAGGAACAAGATGGAGAAGGTTGGTCTGCATAGGATATTATTTGGATTCATGATTTTGAAAATGAAATTTTCTTATGGTCACATATCTCTCATGATTAACTTGCAGTGCCTTCTATTGTTTAGGTACAAAGACTGTTGGAGTAATTAGCAAGATAGATCAAGAATCTTCATAACCAAAGTTCTTGTTGTGTTGTAGCGGTCATGGGAGAACGAAAGTTGGGTGGCTTTGGTATTGGCCGAGAATTGGTGCAAGTGCGATGGTCACCTCCGCCTGAGGGTTGGATTAAATAAATTCTGATGGCTCTTTTAACCCGACAAAGGGTATGGCTAGCACGGGAGGGATGCTACGTGACCATTGTGGCCAGTGGATTAAGGGCTTCATTGTGAATATTGGATTTTGTTCGATTATGGAGGCAGAACTTTCGGGACTTTTTCAAGGCCTTCAACTAGCATGGAACTCGGGTTATCGATTCGTCCTTTCGGAGGTTGATGGTCGTTGTACTCTCTCAATATTACAAGGTGAGAATGTGGAGCCGGCAATCCATAGTGCATAATGCATTCGTCAAGGCCATAAGAGAGCTGTTGAGGAGGCAATGGTCGGTGAGGGTCTTACATGGCTATCAAGAGTCCAACTTTGTTGCGAATTGCTTGGCGAGAGTTGCAGCAAGGAGTCCAGGAAGTTTTCAACCGTTACATACTCCGCCGAATGAGGCCTGGAATTGGTTAAATCATGATTTTATCGAGGTCTCTTATCTAAGAGATGCGTTGATTTCTAGTCCTTAGCCGGTTGGCCTCTCTCTTTGTACCAAAAAAAAAAAAATTCAAGGACCAAAAAAATAAAATTAAAATCAAGGACCTAGATAACCTAAAAGGAAGGAGCACATGCTACGACTGTGAATGAATATAGATTTTTTTTTCAAAATTATTGTTTAGTAAGTAAGTAGTAATGGAATAAATGGAAAAAAATTAATTTTAGAAAATAAAATAAAATAAATATAATAAATAAACACAAATTAAAAAAATATTATAATTAATGATGTGCCTGAGATATTGGCCCACCAAGATTTTTCTGTTGATATTTATATGTAAACATTTGAACATGCGTATGTTAAAATAAACGACGTAGAATCGTAAATTGCCACATCAAATTTAAAAGTTTTATCTATATATATGCAATATAGATACTAAAATAAAAACTATATAAAATATTTATTTAATATATTACATGTGGATCTCATATTAGTATGATTTTTTTCTATTTTTACCTTGAAATATCCAAACATAACCGAAAAACTTATCATTGTGTTTGATGGTCCAAAACGAAAAAAATAAAAAACAAATGATTTTAAATAAAATTATTTTAGTTTCAAAATTATTTTAATGATTAATTAAATGAGATTCATATTTATAAGAGAAAATATAATATATAAGGAAAGAAACTCATACTCACAAACGGAAAGATAGACAAATAATAAGTGGGATATTGAAATGAGAATACATAATAAATAATTATGTACAAGATTGAATATTATTTATAACAAATAATTATGTCACTACGAAGAAAAAAAATATTTAATGCAAGTTTGTAATGCATATTCACAATAATTGATCATTACAAAAAAAAGTATTTATTTGTAACAAATAATTATGATTGTTTGAATGTTAAATAATACATAAAAATTAACAATATTTATTTCATGAGGCATTTATTTAGCCAAGGGAAGTGGGAGTACAAATTCCAATACAATCATGAATACAAATTAATTATTTTTGTGTAACATTTTTTTTATTGTTATATCATGCATTGAAAATAATAAAATTTATTTTAATGTATTAAATTTAATTTTAGAGGGAAAATTATTTCCTCCATGTTCTCCACTTACATATGTATATATGTAGATTACAAAAGATATAAAATAATATAATGTTAGATTAATAAGAGATGATTACATATTTTCTTAACGTGTACGTAAATTCCATCATAATAGAGTATATGTGTCAACTGTAACATGGTTCTACTGTATTATATGTAAACATTTGAATATTTATGTGTAAAATTAAACATTTGAACATTTGTATATATGCAGTATAGATACCAAAATAAAAATTATTTAAAATATTTATTTATTATTTTACATGTGGGTATCACATTAGTTATGATTGTTTCTATTTTACCTTGAAATTTTCCAATATAACCGAAAAAATTAATATTGTGTTTGAAGTTCCAAACAAATAAAAAAATATAAGATAAAAAAACTACTTTAAAATTTATTTTAATGATTAGTTAAATGAGATTGATATTTTGTATTTATAAGAATAAAATATAATATATAAGGAGAAGAACTCATACTACGGGAAGAGAGACAAATAATAAGTGAGATATTAATTGAAATGAGAATTCATAATAAACATTTATATATAATATTAAATATTATTTGTAACAAAAAATTATGTCATTCACAAAGCAAAAAAATATTTAATGAAAATTTGTAATGCATATTCACAATAACTGATTATGACTAAAATAAGTATTTATAACAAATAATTTTACGAAATTGCCATTATTGTTTGACTACCATATTTAAAACTTGACTTGATCAAAACTATTGATATGCTAGATCCAATGATCCAGACTCATTCTTATTTTTCACATTAAGAGTCATTCTCATATGATCATTTCTCTATAATATATATATATATATATATATATATATATATATATNTAAACCCCTTGATAGGTTTACGGGTAGTGCCCGTTTTCATTGTGCTCTAATCATACGCAGACACGTGGAAGGTAATAATTTTTTTGATTCCTCTTTTTCTTTTCGTCCAAATTGTGGCTGAATGTATTTTAGCTTTTTCTTTTATTTTGCTGAATGTTTATTTATGTCTACCAAATATAAACTATACCATATTACTACGGTTATTTTTTTTAAAAAAAAAGAAAAAACCAGCCTGTACAACCACAAATCGACATTGTTCAGATTACAAACAAAGATCTACAAAATGCAATTCGCTTCACCCGACTTCAAATTGCCCACAGATTGACAAGTTAACCCACAGATCGACATCGTCGGAAGTTGACGCCCGAGTTCACAGGTACGGGTCTTTCACGACCTCTTTGAATAATTTTAGTTCTCTTTGTAAACAAAATTCATTATTTAGAAAATGGTGAGTTGTTGCTTTGGTTTCGTCACTCTTTGTTTAATTGATTTGTAATTTTAGTTATGTGATTTTTGCAATTAGGGTTTGGAGCTTAAAATTAGTTCTGTGATTGATTTGTAATCTTGCTAGATGCCCGAAATGGATCTACGAGAATGGTCCCTAAGCCCATAACTTTATCTTGAGATGGTATGAAGTCTGGGATAGCAAAGAGAAACTAATAATGGAAAAGCCCCTAATTTTATAGATGGCGTTTAGCACCTGTTTATCAGTTATGTTTAACAGTTATGTGTTTATCTTTGTGTGTGTATTATGGTTATTAGTAAATTATTGTGCTTGTTTAACAATTATGTGTTTATCTGTATGTGTGTGTGTGCAGGGGCGGAGCCCTAGGCCCACACTGGAAAAAAATACTATATTATATATCATACTTAAAAAATAGTTTAATACTCAATTAATAAAATAAAAATAAACAAAAAACAATAGGAACACAAATAAGGGAAAGAAAAAGAGATAATGAGAAAAAAAATCATTATTCTTGTTTATTTTGGTCAAAAGTAAATCTAGTCATTTTTTTTTATTAGATTTGATCTAAAAATTAAAAATTTAAACTTGTAGTTAATAGAATGTTGTTTCTTAAAATATTAACATATTTACATTTGTGTGTGATTGATAAATTGTAGGGCTCTTAAAAGTTTGATATATTAGATAAAAGAAATTATACATTACAATTTATTTTTTTATATCAAATTATGCAGAAAATATTTTTATAAATAGTCTTGACAAAAAGCATGTGAAAATATTTCAAAATTAGTTACTTTTATTCTAAATATACTTGAGGTGAATTATAATATTGCTAGGCCGAAAAAATATGTAAAAAATCTTATTGTAGAGTCATACTAAGCTATAAAAACTCATAAGAATTTCTATGAATGTGTATTTGTATTTATACTTTATTGTGATGTATTATATTTGTTCTTTAAAAATAAGTAAGCCCCCACTCATATTATGAGCTGGATCCGCCCCTCTGTGTGTGTGTATGTATGGTTAGTAAATTATTGTGCTTGTTTAACAGTTATGTTTTATGGTTAGTAAATTATTGTGCTTGTTTTGCTGGGTGTGTGTGTGTTTGGTTATTTTGGTATGATGAACCTCTTTTTATTATGTCTGGACAGAAAAATTAGATAGAATGACTAAAAAAATCTTTCTTTTTTTTTCAAATTGCATTGAATTTTTTTTGGGGTCCGAACAAAACTTGTTCATGATTGTTTATATGAGTTCTGAGCATTCTGAGTAGTTTTTTACTGACTCTATGTTTTATCTAATATTTTTGTGTGTTTGTCTAATGGGTGGGTATGATGTTAAAAAATCTGCCTATTTTCCGAGGGGGGTTTATTCTCTTTGATTATAGAAACCAATGGATCCGTAGTAGAGCCTCTTGCAAGTTGTCCAATTTTCATTTAATCATCTTGATGAAGTTTGTCTTGACTTCATTTTCATTGGCTATATTTACAAATAAGATAATGGTATTGAGTGTGTAAGGTTCTTGAGATTGTGAATTTAGGTTTATGTTTGAGTGGTTGCTTGAATAATAACATTTTATTTTATTTTTTTAATTATTTTTGAATGTTTGAAAATGTCACAGACTTCAACCGCTAAGAAATTTAGAGGACCAGGACCAAGTAGATTGAAGTATGGAGAAAAAATATGTGATCAATGTGGAATCAAACTTGCAGTTAAGATTGTTGGTCTCCGAACTGCAAATTTTCAGAAACTATATTATTTTTGTGATAGACATGGATTTATTGGTTGGGCTAATCCAATGAATTTTGTTTTTCAGAAACTATATTATTTTTCTAAATAATGAATTTTGTTTGCAAATAGAACTAAAATTATTCAAAGAGGCCGTGAAAGACTCGTACCTACAAACTCGAGCGTCGACTTCCGTACATGTGAACTTGGGCGTCGACTTTATTGCTGCAATTTTGGTAACCACGGGCAATTTGAGTCGATCTGTGGGCTAGTTTGAAGACGGACGATGTCGATCTGTGGGCAATTTGAAAACGGGTGAAGCGAACTGCGTTTTGTAGATCTGTGTTTGTAATATGAACGGAGTCGATTTGTGGTTGTACAGGCTGGTTTTTTCTTTTTTTTTAAAAAAAATAACCGTAGTAATATGGTATAGTTTATATTTGGTAGACATAAATAAACATTCAGCAAAATAAAAGAAAAAGCTAAAATACATTCAGCCACAATTTGGACGAAAAGAAAAAGAGGAATCAAAAAAATTATTACCTTCCACGTGTCTGCGTATGATTAGAGCACAATGAAAACGGGCACTACCCGTAAACCTATCAAGGGGTTTATTCCGTAAGGGTAGAAAGCCCTAGCAAAACTGAAGTGCAGTTCTGCAAGTCTGCGACTCCAAATCTCGGGGGGAAAATAGAAAGAAAAATTCCGAACACACAAATTTTGAATTGAAACAAGAAAATGGGCAAGGAGATGTCTAATCCTCCGGCCAACCAGAAGCATCAGTCTACGGTGGCGTACACGGTGGAGCAGCTCGTCGCCGTCAATCCCTACAACCCCGACATCCTCCCCGATCTCGAAAACTACGTTAACGAGCAGGTATTGCTCCAATTGTTGTTTACTCTGTAAAAATTTAGAGTGTATATGGTTTGTTGGTTTCTGTGGTTCATGTGGGTGTGAGAAAGTTTGTGTTTTGATGTGATTTTTTGTTCTTATGTTGATGTAATTGCAGGTCTCATCGCAAACCTACAGTTTGGATGCAAATCTTTGCCTTCTCCGTCTCTACCAAGTATGATTTTGTTGTTATTGTTATTTTGTTCAGCTGGAAATACTACTTCCTTTTGACTGTGTGTCGAAGTTGATAGGTTTTTTGGTGGGTTTCTGTTTCATTTCTCAAAATTGCAGTTTGAGCCTGCAAGAATGAGCACCCAGATTGTTGCTCGCATCTTAATCAAGGTAAAACCAGATTACAATTATAGTAGGATAGGATATGGAATAGAAAGTTCGAAACTTTTGAATCTCTGATACAATCTTCTCTAAACGTACGAAAGAAGAAAAAAAATCCAAAAGTTTTCTGTTTTGTTGATTTGCGTTTTGTTGTTTATTTGTACATTAATTAATCGATTTTTGGTATTCTTTTCAGGCTTTGATGGCAACGCCAGCACCTGATTTCAGCCTCTGTCTCTTTTTAATTCCTGAAAGAGTGGTATTTGACGAATTCTTGGGCTCTATCCTATTACAGTTGCCCCATTGCCTTGAGCATTTTATTTCATTCTGAAAAATATGCTTATGTTAAGAAAAATGATTCCTTTTTCTCTTTTTATAAAGAACAATGCTTCAAAAGCCAAGTTGTTGTTATCTTATACCTTGTAGGAAACCACTCATTGATGACGCCAAATATTTGTTGGGATTTAAAATTTTTGTTTTACTTTTTCCTTTGTTGATACGAGCTAATTTTCAGCTATTGGTATCAATGTAGTAAGAAAAAAGAAGTTGTTATACCATTTATAAATCATCATCTCTCTTACCGAAGCTGATGTGATGGTCCCAGCCAAAGAGCAGCTGCAACCTGAAATCTTTTATCGATTTTCTATTGGCTTATATACCTGTGGATGAGAACTTGAAGTTTGCTTGCTAGCTGAGAATGTAGGAACATGAAAAGATGCATGATTGATTTTCTGACGGAAATAACATTCAATTGTTGACCAGTATGGACTATGGACTTGCAGTATGTTTCGTGGATCTTTTTGTACAATTAGTAAAGGTTTCTTTAGTTAGTGATTTGAAGTATGTATATGATCAAAATTTTTTTTCCTCAAGCTTGATTGTCTAATGTTTTAACTCCGCCTATGTTGTTGTTGTTGTCTTGATTGTCTAATGTTTTATGCTCTTTCTTTCTTGTAAACTTCGTGGGTTNNATCTGGAAACATTTAATTTAGTTTTACTAATTGGTGGTCTCATGTGTCCCTTGGAAATTTACAGCAAATGGAGGAGCAATTTAAGACACTGATTGTTTTGTCGAACTACTTGGAGGTATTTGAAAAGATATCACTTTATTTTTACTTACCATTGCAGATAAGTAAGGGGGTGATTAGATGTGAATTCAACTAGTTTTTAATTAGTTTTTTTTAACTATTGTTAAATTTGAAAAAAATGTGGTATGGTTAGTTGTTAGTGGATATATTAAAATAATATTTAAAAAAAAATAATAAATAATTAAAGTTGATTTGATGTAAAAGTAGGAGAAAAGTTATTAGAAGTGATGGTTAGTTAAAATTATGTGAGTGGGTGAATAGTGAATTGGTTGATATTATTTAATTATATTGATAATATTGGAGATAATGGGTTGGATTAAAGGTGAGTTAAATTTGAGTTTGATTGTTTTTTTTTAATTGAAATGATAAAAATCACCCCCTAAGTATCTCACTGTGAGCGTTTCTTCTCTCTCTACAGACTGCCAGATTCCGCCAGTTTTGGGATGAAGCAGCTAAGAGCCGCCACATCTTAGAGGCTGTTCCAGGTATGTATACTTAGACACAGTTTACCTTTTTGGTTGCTGGTCAATCCAATGACTATAACAATGGCATGAAGATTTGTCTGCTAGAACATTTTATTTTAAATACATTATGTATTTTAAACTTGTGCCTATTGAAGGACAGAAACACAAAAGGAGAGAATTTGGAAGAACGTAAGAACTACTTTTAGTTATACCTGCTTTGGACTCTTTTAGTATATTGACCAGATCCGCGATATATTTTAAGTGTTAAACATGAACGTAATAATTCAGGAACTGCATATTCCCTAATAGATTTTCCGTTTGTTATAAGGTCATAAATGTTTGTCTGGAGGTGTTCGCTTATGAACTTCTGGACTGTTTTCCTTTGCTTTGAACTCCGGTCAGATACTATGTTTATAAGAGACTATGCCAATGTCTCTTATATCACTTATAACTTTAATCGGCCGATTGGTGCTTCATAAAAGATACTATTGTTATGGTGGGCTTATTTAATTCTGCATTGAATAAATAGTAATAGCTGCATTCTCGTCTGTAGTTCTTCCTCTGCCTTACATTCCACAATTTATAGCTGACAAACATGTTACAATGTTTATGTCTAAGGCTTTGAGCAAGCTGTTCAAACATATGCAATTCATGTCCTTTCATTGACGTACCAAAAAGTCCCGAGGTCTGTGCTAGCCGAGGTGTGTTTCTCTTACTTCACATCTCCCTTTTCATTTTCTTTTAATCTATTTATTTATTATTTTGGCCACTGTTTGATAACCTTTCTCAGTTTAGGGGGGAAAAAACTTATGCTATAATTAAATGAAATCTTCAGGCCATAAATATCGAGGGCCCCTCTCTGGACAAGATAATCGACTACCACACTGCAAACTCTGGTTGGCAAATTGAGAAAGAGAAAACGGGCCCACTTATTATTCTCCCCCAGAATGAATTCAACCATCCCCAGCTCAAGAAAAGTGCTGCAAATGGCGTACCTTTGGAGAAAATAGCACGAATCATCCCCATTCTTGGTTGATCTTATCGAAAATCACTTTGTGTTGTGTGAGATGACAGCAGGATTACATTTAAAATTAAAGTTAGATTTTGACCTTTTTAAGTTGCAATGGGATAAGATTTTTAAATTCTGATTTGAATTTTCACCTGTTTAAAAGATGATCATTTGGAATTTGCATTTTATCTTGAGTGATCAATATCTTGGAAGTTGGAGGAGCATGATTGCTGTTATGCAGAAGATTTGATTCTACCGATATAAGTTGGATTGGTATAAGTTGTAGTTTTTATCGACACAATGCTTCTGCATATGTTTAAAACCGAGGTGAATTTTCATCTTTACCACGTGATTTGTAAAAATTGTAATTGTACGATAGGGAAAATTTTAATTGCATAATTACAAATTACATGACATTTAATTATAAAGATGCAACATATCAGTTATCAAAACAAATGCAATGCCTCCCTTAAAGGTTATCGAATTTTCGATTAAACATAAATCATAAGTTAGGATGTTGTTTCACTACAAAATAGAAAGGGAAGGAATTTGAATTTCAATTTATATCATATTCCAAATATATACAAACTACGCTGTTGTGAATATTAGTCTTTGTTGATGATCAAACGTTGAAAAATATATAAAATCAAACAGTTATTTTTTATTGTTGACAATTTTTGTTTATTTTTGTACATCGCATTGTTTTTATTACGTATATTAACCGTACATGTGTGCATGTTTCGCTTACAAACATAAAATGAATTTGAAGGTTTCACGTGCAAAATAGAAAATAAAGTTTTCGGTCTAACTGTGTGTATTTCCGCTCAAATAGCAGATTTGGAGAACAAATGAACTTATACAAATAATATACTAACCTTATATACATATAGTTGAAATATAAAAAACAACATGTTGTGAATTTATACATTACATATATTGACTTTATATACATATACATATCATATACTGGACATGAACATACATTTTGCAACAACTTAAAACCAATAGTCTGTTGTGTTAATGAGGTATGAGAGTCTGTTGTGTTAATGAGGTACAAGGGGAAATATGTTGAATTAGTGTGTGATTAATGACGTATGAGAAAAAATAATGAGTTTAATAATTAGTGGTCACCTTTAGGAAAAACTGACACTCAGTTCACGGTAATTAGTTATTAATTAAGCTAATTCGTTTAATAATTTTTTCTGATATATGTGCAAATAAAATAACAACTCTAGCCATTTTGCTAATATTTATATGAGAGATGTAATTATGCAATAAAAAGATAATAGTCTAGTGTGCAAGCCGGAAGGTAATTTTCTCTAAAACCAAAACAATACCTCACATCTTGAATTTACACAACTTACTGGATTAATGGTGTGCCTATTATACTAAGTAATCGGTGGGTGTATTAAAAGAGGTGAAACTGTCCAAGTAAATGCCATATTTACAAATTCACATGATTCATTCACTAGGTGAAAAAAAAAAAAAATATAGAAACAGGAACGTTATGACTGCTGGCTATTTACTCTTTTTCATACTACACAAAAAAGGGGAGATATAAGCTATCCCTAATTCCCTATACTGCAGTTCCCATGATTGATTCGGGCAACGAATTCGACGAAAAATGCTGCTTTTGAAATAATTATTTTCTCATTCATCTTTGCTATATTTCCAAGTGCAACATTAGCTCTCACACTGTAGGATTTGCAGAAACTAAATAAATCCTCTCAATGACACAGTGTTTCTAAATTTGTCACCCAGCGCACAAAACTGTCTGAAAGTTCGCCAAAAACTTCTGAATCACGAGCTTCATTGTAATACAAGTCTGTTTTAATTCGATCCTTTCCCTACAAATTTTGAAGAGTTTCACGAATCCATAATGAACACATACGAACATGAACAAACAGATGAGTTTCTTTCATTTAATCATTTCAAATTTTTTTTTACGCATTTTGTGATGCTGAAATTTAATAGGAGAAAGGGTAAAATATACTGACCTGCGCGCTCGATTCACATTCACTGGTAGATGAGGTTCGGTCCTCAATCAGGACATTTTCTAATGACATGTGCATTGACCTGAGCATACAAGAGTTGATTCATCTTCATCATACAACTTAAACTCATTTCAATTTTGCCAATATGAAGAAAATTTCAATCGAATTACCTCTCAAACAACTTCATCGAATGAATTTCCGTGAGGACGAGAGCCAATCTACGTCGACAAAGTTAGAGCAATCGATAGCGTTCCAATTTTCATGGTCGATATATCTTTCTCTTTGCATTTCCGAGAAAATTTCTCTAGTAGGCTGAGTGCTCTGCAGTAAAGAAAGTTGAAAAGATAA